TCGAGAGGTTTTTTACCGGTTGTTGAATGGATTGAGTTGTTGTATTCAAAAATTGATTTGTCTAGGAGTTCCTCAAATGATTCATGTGTATTTTCTGATTTGAGGCAACGTATTATTTCGGTAAGAGCAAGGTGAAATTTTTCAACTTGATCCTTCGAACAGCTTTTATAGGGAGAAGCTTTGTGAATCTCTATATTGAATTGATTAGTCAGCATTAATATGATTGGGCTGGAATTAAATGAATTTTCATTGTCGAATATAATAACATTTGGTATTCCTAATGAAATTTTGATGTCTCTAAGAGGTTGTTTCAGATCCTCTGCCGCTCGTGATTTAATTAGTTTAATAAGAGCATATTTCGAGAATTTATCTATGGCGGTCGGAATGAGTTGTTTGTTTGTGTGGTATATATCGATTTGGACAATATGTCCGGGGTACTCAGGTATTGGTGTGCTTTGAATAGCACACAATAGTTTATGAGGGTGACGGTCGTATTTATTAAACTTATATGTTCTGCACTGTTTCACGATTTTTTTTAATCTTGGCTCTCATTTGTGGAAAATAAAACTTTTCTAGAATTCGCAACTTGTTTTCTTCGCAATTTCGGTGGGCACGATTGTGTTCCTTAATAATTTCTTTATTTTGATCGGCTGAATTTGTTAAATCTCTTCCTAACTTCTTAGTGAACTGTATTTTGTATCTGTTGAAACGAGGGGCAAACATCTTTTGTATCATACCTAGTGTTCGTTCGTCYGTCGTGAGGCCATTAGTCACCGATGGGTTCAGATATGATTTAAGGATATTGGCTAATTTTTCTTCGTTGAAAGTCGCGTCAGTTACTGTGTGACGATGATAGGTTGGGAATGGAATTTCAAACTTATAGTTAGTATTATTTCCTACATTGAGAATGATTTGGTTCTTGAATACGTTAAGGGATATATTGCCAATGCTATCAAATTCTTAGATTCCATCACTTCATTTTAGAATTAAAATTTTTTGTTAGATTAGGCGTATGTTAATGGTTGATGGTCTGTAAAGAAATTTACTTTGGCAGTCCCGTACGGGTAGTTTCGAAGGCATTTCAGAGCCCAAATAATAGCTAGCATTTCTCTCTCGTTAGAGGCATATACTTCCTCTTTTCTATTTAGGATTCTCGAAATGAATATAATGAGTCTATTTTCCTGTGTTAATACTACGCCAATAGCGTATTTTGATGCGTCCGTCGTTAAGTGAAATTCCTTACTATAATCGGGATAAGATAGCATAACGTCTTCTGACAATAGAGAATTTTTTTACCTTTTGGAATGCCTCGATGGTTTCTTCAGATAGGTTAATGTATTTCCTACTAGAAAGTCTTTTGGATATATGTCCTTCCTCCTCTCTTAAAAGGGATGTCAAGGGTTTCGTCAATTTGGCCTAATCTTTTACGAAACGACGATAGAAACCGGACAGTCCTAGAAATGACCTGAGGTCTTTTATGGTTCTTGGACAGGGAAAGTTTTTAATTGCCTCTAMTTTTTTTGGGTTGGTTCGTATACCGTTTTGGGATACAATAAAACCAAGGAATTCAACTTATGTTTTCAAGATTTCACATTTGTCGATTTGCCCCTTCATATTAGCGTTTTGTAAAGTTCGAAATATGGTTTCGATATTTTGGAAATGGGATTCTGTATCTTCACTAAATACGATTATGTCGTCAATGTATACGTAGCATATTTTCCCAATGTGCTCGMGTAATATATCGTCGAGTGCACGTTGAAAAATTTATGGTGCATTTTTGAGACCGAATGGTTGTCTTGTGAACTCGTATTTTCCGTGCCTTACGGAGAAAGCCGTTTCTTTTATATCGTTCTCTTTTCGAGGTATTTAATGAAATCCACTTTTAAGGTCTTTCACGGAAAAAATTTACTTTTTCCTAGTTCTGAAAGTACGTTAATGATGTCGAGTATG